GGAGATGGGTGGGGACAAGATAGATAGATAGATAGATAGATAGATAGATAGATAGATAGATAGATAGATAGATAGATAGATAAGGGCTAGCTTCACACGGCACTAAACCTAACCAATACACACCCCCACACAAACCAAGTTTGAAACAAACCAAGTTTGAAACAAACCAAGTTTGAAACAAACCAAGCTTGCTACACTATGCAAACGCAGCTGGCAGGGCTTCAACTGACCACCCACCCAGATTTATAATAACGTTTAAGGATTTAGCTCTTCCAAGAATTTCTGCATCGCCCCATTCGGTCCATTCTGGGTGGTTCGTGGAAACCCCACACAGAAAGTGCAACGGCTAAAAATGAATCCGAGTCCCAGGGAGACGAAAATCAACAGTGAAAAGAAACTCGGGCAAAACTAGAAACGCCTCTGCTGGGTCAGCAGAGATTTTAAAGACATTTTTTCCGGGTGACATCAAACTCAAGCTCAGCGCCCCAAAACTGCCCCACAAACCCACCAGGTCAAAAAGTTTCAGCCCTCAGAAGCCAAAGAAAAAGGTCAAAATGGAGAGACGGTATGGTTGAGGGCGAGGTGAAGCTGCTGGGCGAGGAGCAGAGAGACCCGGGTTCCAGTCCACCCTCGGCCACAAAAGTTCCCTCCCAGCCCAACCTACCTCACAGGGCTGTTGTTATGGGGAAGGAGGAGGAGGGAGCACTATGGACGACTGACTTGAGATCCTGAATGAATCTAAATGCCTTCGGGCTCGACTTCTGGAGGAAGGTCTGGATTAGACAACCTGTCAGCCGGTGGAACCAGCTGCCCTCGGAGGTCTCCAAAGGGAGAATGGATGGTCGGCTGTCAGTCCTCGCTTAACGACCATAATTGGGACCAGAACTTCCATCACTAACCAAAAGGGTTGTTAGGCGAAACATCGTGTGACCGCACTGCTTAGCGACGGCAGTTCAGGTTGCAGTCATTAGGCCAGGACCTCATGCTTCTCCTGCCCTCCGCTTCAACTACCCCCCGCTTATCTCCCCCCAACCTCTGCCCTTTGGGCCGCCCTGCCCTCCGCCTCCTCTGCCCCCCCACTGACCTTCAGTGTCCTCTTCCTCCCGCTGCTGAGGCGCGCCCGGCCGAGGCAGCTGCTGGCCCTTCATGACGCCTCGCAATCCCTCTAGGAGGCCTTTGCGATGCCCTGCCTATCTCCCTCCCATCTCTGCCCTTTGGGCCACCCCACACTCTGCAGCCATGGGTGGGTGTGGGGAGTTGAAGCGCACCCTGTGGTCATAAATGCGGGCAGGCTGCCAAGCGCCCAAATTTTAATCGTGTGACCATGGGGGCACCACAACAGCCATAACTTTGAGGACCGGAGTAACGACCATTCATTCAGTGCTGTCATAATTTTGAACAGTTGCTGAACAGTCGTTAAGCAAGGACCACCTGTAGTGGGGATTCTGACCTCAGCAGGGGGTCAGACCAGATGATCTCTAAGGCCCCTTCCAGCTCTGAGAGTCGAAGTAAAGGCCTAACAGAGGAATTGGCCTTTCGTGCTGCACTTGATTCATGTTAAGTTGCAAGCTTAGGTTGAATGGATTGGGTCAAATCTGAATAGGAATTAAATGTTGTCTGGATGTTTAGGAAAAATAAGGGCTTCTATTATTTCTTTTTCCCCCAAAAAATCAGGTGAAAGATCCCCATCATTAAACAGCCTTCCCCCACTGCTTCAGCAACACCCCATTACAGGAATTCCTCACAGCTACGACGAGGCTCATACAACGCTGCTGACTGGGCTAAAACGCACTGGCATGTTTTCCAAATTCCATGGCTGCATCTGCACGATATGCTCCAGCTGCTCAGGCAAAGGCCAAGCAGCTGCATTCACACAACACATCCTGTTCAGTTCAGTCTCACCTGGATTGGCTTTGCTCTCTGGCCTCACAAGTTGCGGGCAAACCCAGCGTTGGGTTAGCATACAGTTCAGTGCATTTTGCCAAGGCAGAACAGGAGTTAATTTAGTAGCCCGCTTAGCGAGCTCGTCTTCATGGGTCGTGAGAACCAGGCCAACCACACAGTTTACTAACTGGGGTTCCTGCATGACCTGAGAATGTGGCCACTGTCCCTTGTGAATCTGGGTTAAGCATTTAGCACACGGCGGGAGCCACAGGCGTCCAGGAGAAGCTACAACCCAATCGCGATGCAAGACATCATCCTTGCCCCGTGGTGGGAAGGCATCTTCATGCACGTGTGCATGGGCGCCTATTCCCCTCTAAACTGCCCAGCTTCCAAAGGAGGATCCAGGCCATCTCTTCCTCCTTCTCCACCCCACTGCCGGGCTCGCTCGCCCGCGGAAGCACGGGTAGCCCTGCGGCCCTCCCTGCACGTGAGGAGCGCTCTGCCCACGCAGCCGGCGATGTCACTGCTTCAGTACGACAGGCATCCAGGAAGCACACACAGGCCGTGGCTGGCGGAAGTGACGGAGGCCGGGCCGGCTGCCAGCTGCCGTCTCCCAGACCCCGGAGGGCCAGACAAATGGTGGAGGAATTAGAAAAAAGCCTGTGCCGGGGAGGGGGGCCGATTTCCTTAATTCCCCAGGGAACACTGCCAAGCCTCGAAGGGAGATGAAGCATAATCAGCTTCCTCAGAGATTTCAAAAGGCGGGAGACATGGTAGGAGAAGAGCTGTTAATCCAGCTTGCAAAACAATCAGGACTTGGGTAGCACCTAGTCCCATCTAACGATTTTATCCAAAGGCACAAGCTGCAGCTCGCGAAAGCTGATGCTTTTGAATAAAATTTGTGAGATGGAAAAGATGCTACCAGACTCCTTCGCAAAGGTGGGGAAAGGAACTCGAGGCGTCTTTGTTCTTTTGCATTTTTTTTTTGGTTTAAATTTTTGCACAGGATGCTTATCTTTGTCCCAGTCAAAGCAGCACTTTTCAGAGTAAAAGGCTAAACCTTGGAGGGAAGGAAGATGAAACCACGTGCTTCCTCAAGCGTCATTATTTCTGAATCATCTATATTGTCCTTCTGACCCACCTAGCTCCTGGAGAAAATCTATCTATGGTGTTGGGGAGAGTTGACATCAACTCGGGGGCACATCATCAATCCATCTGCTAAATCCAAGAAGTTCTATAGTATATGACTACAAAAAAGAAAAAAAGAAAACTAGAAAAACAGTCAGATGCACCTAGTAAGTAGCAAAGGAAAGATATTAAAATATAAAAGTCCATTTTCCAAGGAAGCAAAATCACATGGATGACAAAATTATAAAAATCCTGCTTGGGAGAAGAGAAATGTTTTATGGAAAGCTGTTTTGATGAGGGGGGGTAAATCAGTTTCTGGTGCACGTTAGGTTGAAAAACAAAGCTACCTTTTCCTGATTAACCATGCACTAGCAGCATCAATCTAAAATAATAATAATAATGGCTGTTGATGTCTTTTTCTTGCGGGTGACCTGAGTTCGAAACCCAAGCTGTATCCCAGCCTGGCAGGGAGTTCTGCAGATGATAGACCCCCCAATCTGGAGGGACCCTCCCTCTTAATATTCTGTTCTCTAGGATGGAGCAATTGGTTCCCCCACCAGCAAACCAGTGGGTGTTTTCACATGGCAAAGAGTGCTGTGGGTTGGGGTCATTCATCCAAGTGGTGAGGCAGAGGCTGGGTTCCCACAAGACGCTGAGCAACGAACTGCCCAACCCTATTTTCACAGAATCCTACAGCTGGGAAGAACCTCAGGGGTCATCTAGTCCCACCCCTGCCTCACCTGGCACCTTTTACGAAGCCGGTGGGCAACTGCATTCAGACAATGCACTTAACCTAGGTACAGATGAACCCATTTCTGAGTATACATAATGAACAAAGCTTGTACAATGCTGCAAAGCGACCTAGAATAAACCTAGATTAAGAACTAAGCTTGGGACAATGCGGAAATGCAGCGGTTTGGCCTTAGACAGGCAGAGAACCACCTGTTCTGAAATACACCTGTACGGTCAACCAGCTTAAACTCCCCATCATCCCTTCACAGAACCAAACAGGTGCGTCCAAATTTAGCGACTCCTTAAACAGCACCACAAAACCCTTGTCCAAAAATGCATACTTGGGTCACCTTAACATGTCAGGATGTGCCATCCCAGCAGCCTTTCTGAGAAAAGAGGTCTCTTTCTAAGGGGAAAACAGCCTCTGCTCTCCAAACCCTAACCCATCACCAGCAGCGGCCAAAGAAACCCGAATTCAATCACTGCGCATCTTCAGAAAGTCTCAGATGGGACCAAATTCTACTCCAAACAGGAAATTAACACGTGCCACCCCAAAACCACTTCTGTGGGGGACCCACGCCACCCTTAAAAGCAATGTGCAGGATCACCTGCTCTCTTTTAAAGACTCCTGCCCTCACCCCGTCCCTGTCCTGTCCACCCAAGCAAGGATCTGCCTCCCCAAACCTCCCAGTTACACCTGCGTGGTGAAAGACTGAACCCTGAGCTCTGGCCAACCCCCTTCACCACTGTTTACAGGTACCAGTTTCCTACCTGAAAAGAAGGGGAGGTTAGAAATGGAGGGATCCCACATCTCAGGCACTTGAATGCCAGGACTGAATTCTATCCAGCTTCACATCGAGAGACACTGGTGTCTTCTGGGCCTCCTCCTTCACGCCCATTGCAAAACCAACAGGTGTTGTCATCGCACATGTGATGGAATGATGTGCAGCTTCCTGGATGGGAGCATCAGCCGAGAAGGACCTCTAAGGCATGTGAGCTCAGCTGTGAGCCATCAGACAGCATGCTGAGTCTTGCAACTGCACGTCACACTTCACAGAGTCTTGCAGCTGGATGGGAACTCAGAGGTCATCTAGCCCAACTCCCGGTGCAGGAGATGCCAAATAATTTGGGGCAGACAGTAATCCAGACTGCTTGAGAACCTCCAGTGAGGAGAACACACCCTACCCTAACTCTTTTTCCACTGACTGACAGCTCCAACCATCACAAAATCCCTCCTATCTATCTATTTCTTGGGTTCATACCCACTGCATTCAAAATGACTCTTGGTGGTTTAGAAAACATCCAGAAAAAATACAATAAAATGCCCGTGGTATCCCAACTCAAGAAAATAAAATAAAAAGTAAAGCAAATCTGACTACCTCTTATACACACAAATCAATAGACCACCAGCGTCAGTCTGTCTCTCAAACTCTTTCTGGAATTTAGTTTTTAATAGTTTATAGGAATCCCAGACCACAAGAGATGCTCAAATATCTAGGGCAGTGTTTCTCAACCTTGGCAACTGTAAGATGGGTGGACTTCAATTCCCAGAATTCCCCCTCCTCCCACCCCCGCGCCTTGGGATACGGAGGGGAAGGAGAACTGGCATGATATTTTTCGTTCAGGTTAGAAAAACTCAGT